CTGGTCAAAGCAATATCGCAAAAAAAAATAGAAAAAGGTTTTTTCTTAACAGCGGTCGTCCCTCGGCAGGCAATGGCAAACCTCCGAGTGTATTTCTGCCACAAAAACAGCTTCTTATTAAAATACAATCGCCGTTCGGAGTCGGCGTAAAACTGTACGCCACAAGTCGGTGGAAAGGCTCGGCCAAAGACTAACATATGTGTAAGCGCCAATCTATTATTATTATTATTTTCTTCGCGCATTTTTTGCCATACAAAGTATGTTCGACAAAAAAAATCGCCAAATAAAAGCGGTAAGTCTTAGCTGCTTTAAACTTGCAGTAAAATTGAATGGGCTACAAAACTGCTTACTAAGAATGTTTCTGAGAAAAAGCACAAAATTTTGATGAATATTTGTCGAATTTTACTATTTTTGTACAAAGTTTGAAATTTTGACTTACATGGTTTTCATTAGATAATGATAATGAGATACAAAAATAATGAACATTAAATAATCGAAATAGAAATAGCCAAACAATGCTAAAATGTCGCTGCGCTATTTATATTTTCGCCACTGTACATACATATGTACAGTAGCAGCCCGCCCGTTGTGTGTTAAAATAAGCTTAAGTATAAAAAATGTCACAAGGAAAACCAAGGCGAATTTATATAAGGTGGTGTTACTAGCTCAACTGATTTTGTGTATGTGTTTCGCCGCACGGCTTCTGATATCAAATTGAAAAATTTTGTTTGAATTTCTACACACACTCTTACAGATTTTGACAGTTTATGCCGCCAAAGCAAAAACAAAATACATGTAAATTTTTGTTTTTGTACTCCTGCTATCACCTTATATTAATTCGCCTTGAGGAAAACTGAATAATTTCGTATAATATTTTGAAACAAACGCCTAATCGAGTCAATTAAATGATCTTTAATAAAAGCAATTATGTGTATTAGGTTCCCAAAGCAAGTCCGTATACAGTGGGAGCTTGATCTGGCGATTTAATGCTATATATATCGGGTCAATTGCTGATCTTTCAAGGGAACATAAACTACTCGATGAAAACTAGCCTGATGCTACTTACAAAAAAAACTCACTTTTACTAAACCCTCATTCAAGGGAGCACGACTGGAACTCTCACATAGGGAGACAAATCTTGAAGCTGTTCTGGTTATAACAAGAAGTTCTGGTATAAAACTTCATCGGACGCTGAACATTTATTAAGGGTCGAGGAGGGCCTCTTTGTTTCCCTATCTAACCATAGGAATTCTAGGCAATAAATGTGGATTCAGGCCAAATATTGTACTCGGGATGTACAGCTAGAATCTGATCCAATATGAAGCTTAGAGGAATTCAGAGGTAAAATGTGCAATGGCTGCAATGGGATCCGCCCAATGCGGGACTTTGAAAGCATTACTACATTTGTTACCGATCATCTTGTCGAAAATTCAGCTGCTATGAAGGCACTGCCAAAAATTTCGGCACCAACCACAAATTCGCCAGAACTTCTCAAGACGTAGTAGGCCAGACGTAGGGCACATCACCTGATGACTCTTCCAAACTACATTCCATAGCCAAAGCCATATAAATTGGCACAAACTAAAATCGAACATGCCAGATAACCCGCACAGCAGTATTCATATATATTTCCAACGAATGACTATTTTCATTAGGACCAAGGAATCGAAAACATGGAAAACTTACTTTGCTACGGGCAAGACCTTGGCTAAACAGATACGGCGGTGTCCCGTCCAGTACTCTGTCGATTATCTGCCGGCCCCAAGTTCGAAGAAAATCTGCAAAACAGCGCTTCTTCTTAGAAGCAGAGGCACTGGCTTTAACAAGGGGTCGAATCCCGTACTTTTTCCTTTCTCTCCTGAAAACTACCCATTTTCACATTCGATAGTTTGACATGGAAGCGACGATGTGTACATACATATGCTTTTGCTTAAAGTTATATTTTTGTGTTTTTTCTATTTGAGAACCCCGCCCATTTTGGCATGGAACGCTTACAGTGTTGCGGATTTCCTTCCATATAACGCATGAATAAAATCTATCTTTGTAAGGAGAAAATCCTAAAAATTCTGAATAAAAAGTGTGAAATTTTTGTGAAGCTGATGTGTCTTGAAACGGATTTCCAATTTGGTTTGGGTAGAAAACGGGTTGCACGTGTTGCCATCTTACGTGTGCTTTTGTGTTCTTCGGCTTCAATAATATCTGAAGGAAATTCGAAACTATGTATGTATATGAATATTTGATTTTAATTTGCTTACGTTTCCACGAATCACGAAGCTATGAGTCAAAACAATAGAGTTTGCTTACATCTTTTGGTAAAATTTCTTTGTGTAAAAAATATAATAACAGCAAAGGGCCCTTTCCATATTAACTTATTTGTACTTATTATATTCATTGATTTAGCTGAACATTTTCTTCTTTGTTTGTTTTTTTTTTTATTTTAGTTTCCTTAACTTTGTCTCGACTGCCACTTCAGTACTTTCGTTTAACAAAGGTCACGTCACCGTAATAGCCACATGTTGCATGCTACAATTGTTACTTTTAACTTTTTTGACGATCTTAATGTACACTTAGCACAACAACAACGCCACTGACAACTTGGAGCCATGGCGCGCCATAAAAGAAAAATATCATTAGACAATATTTGCGAGTAAGTGTGTATGGCTGCTTGCAGTGTTGTTAAATAAGTTTCGGAATTATTTGCGCTTTTGTTTTTGTTTGGCTGGAAAAGACAGACAAATACAAAAAGAAAACTAAGTAATAAGCAAAGAAACAGCAAACAAACCCGCCATTAACATTGCAAATGTTAATTTCCTGGAAGGTAACTCAGACGGCAGCCGCATAGAAAAAGTGACTCATAATAAATATAAAATATTTTCATTGCAGTCTGGACACTGAAAATGCCTTCGAGATTTCCACAGAACAAGATTAAATGGTTATTATTTCATTTATCCTGCGATGCAGAGAAAATGGAATTCTCCTCTGAGAAAAAACGGACGGTTTTTAGATATTAAAGAACGCAGCCGGGCTATTTGTTTTGTAAAGAAGAAATTTACTTTTTGCTTAGTTATTTAACAGGTAGCGGCTATTCAGAAATACTTGAAATTTGCTAATATAATGAAATAAAAAACAAATTTTAGACACTCACGTTCTTTGTTAAGTATTTGGTTGTTAAGTCTCCGTCTAATTTGTGGTATGTGCTTCTTGATGTTGTCACAAAAATAAAGGTACACCGAGTTTTACGACAGTTTCGGATGACGCGGTCCAATTAATTAAAAGAAAGAAACTCAGCTTTGCCGAAACCTTATTGCATCTAAATTCGCATTTCTTTAAAAAAATATTTTTGAATTATTTTCGGCCGACAACACCCAAGTAACATTTAATTAACTTATTTGTGAAATTGAACTTTCTCTTTTTTTTAGCAGGTGGCAACACTCTTCAAAAATTTATTCATATAACCCGCTCTCGTTTCAAACCAGTGCTTGAATATATATTCCACCTTAGTAATCTAATTTAATTATTTATTTTTCAACAGGTGGCAACCCTCTTAAAAATATTTTTTTATAAACCTTTTCGCTTTACTCCAATATCGTAGTTGCTCAGTTACCTTATTTATTAAATTGTATAACCTCTCTTTTAACCTGTGACAACCCTCTTCAAACATATTTTTTTATTAACCTCTTTAATTTCACACCAATACTGTAATATTTAAGTTATGTTATCTGTTAAATTGAATTATTTTTTTGTAACACATGGCAATCCTCTTCGGAAATATTTTTCATATTAACTTCTTTCGTTTCATACCAATATTGTAATATTTCAATTGACTTGTCAATCAAATTGTATAAACGTTTTTTAACCGATGGAAACCCACTTCAGCTCTAACCACCAAAAAAAAAACGTTAGGAGAATTTTCAATATGCTCAAAAACAATCTGTGTGAAAGATGGCAATTTTTGGTCAATATCTTAGGCTCGCCCAAGTCCACCATAGTTCAAGTGCTAAAAAAAATTTTCTTAGCTTACTTCGATTCTCTACAAAAAAGGCCCACATACCAAATTATCAAAGATACTTGAAATTTTAGTAAATGTCTGCTTTTTGGTTGTTGTTGTTCCGACAGAGTAAGTGCATGATGTATTTTGGAAAGAATTTCCGTCATCCCTTGTCAAATTTGGTTTGGAGACGAACCGTTTTCGGCGTTGTGGCATATTAGTGTCATTTTTCGTTCCCGTTAGTAAATGTGTTAGTAATGCCAATTTATTTCGTATTCATAGACTTCGTTCAAAAATTGTTGGGTTAATGATCGCCGTTGGCACAAAATAAATGATTATTTTTATTAAAATAAACGCACAAATTCATTGATTTTGTGTACGTTTTTGGTTCCGTGTATGCAGAATTTTTTAAGCGAAAAAAATTTCGTTTTTATATTGGGAGTAAATACCATATTAGAGACACGAAATGCTTTAAAATTAAAATTAAAAAAAATGGGTAGTCAATAAATTGAAATCAAGTATGTATACATCTGTAGTCATAAGCAATAATCGCCTAAGTCGACTTAAGAAGGAATTGAGTTATATATGCTATCGTATTATGCAACTACTTTTCCATGTATTCGAGATTCAGATTTTTCGAATTAGGCGGTTTTTGCTTATGACCACAGATATTTTTTGGTGGTGTTCCATGTACCGATGAAATAAATTTGTATTCAATTCCATAATTTTATCTACTTTTATTGAGATAGATATATTGTAAATTCTTACGTCAACGCCTGCAGCATAGCTGTAAAATTTTTAAACAAATCACTTCGAACTAATGCGTTTTAAATAATTTCCCCTCCATCTGTCACCAAATTAATAATAGATAAAATATTCAAGCACGTACGACGCATCGTATACGTAACACTTGCTTTGTTGCGCTACTCATTTTAGTAGCAAGTATTTTACTTAAGCAATATAAACATTTATAATGATAACAATAACAAAGTGCAGCTCTTCGCTACTTCTATACTCACATTATACGCGTCGCATCGCGCTGCCGCACATTCTCATCCCGATTCAGCACTTCGATTATCATTTTTCGCTCTGCCTCTGACAAATTCTCGAGCACTTGTGACGTAGCCACAGCCAACTCAGGGCCCAACGCATCGATGGTTTCACTGGGTATGCCTTCAGTAGCGGCATCGATGGTTGTAATGCTGCCACCACCACCACCACTGCCACCCACAACATTGCCGCCCCCGCCAACGACACCAACACCGCCACTAATACTACAAAAATTCGTATAGCCGGTGATACCCATGCCGCTTGACAAGCCTGTACCAGTCATGCCGCCAACGCCTCCGCCACCCCCGCCGCTGCTGATCATTGGCATGCCGCCGATGCCAATGCCGCCATTATTGCTATTGCTGTTGCTCTTCATATGGCCATAGGAGTTTGTTGGTAGCACATTGTTGCTGTTGGGTTCGGGTAGTGTGGCATGTAAGCCACGTGGCTTGTTGGCGGCTGTGGTAGCGGCGTTGGGTGTGGGCGGCAGGCGTGCACTACGACCGCTTGACATAATATTATGCGCGTATGAACGAAAAACTAAATAAAAATAATATCACACAGATTGCCGAGCACTTCACAACACTGAACTAAATACACTTTACTACACTTCACTGGCCACACTGACGCTGAGTTTGCGCGCTTGAGACAAAGTGCCTGCACTTTATTGGTGTTGTTGACTGTTGATTAAGTTTTTTGTTGGCTTGCTTGGTTATGCAGCGAAATCCTCCTTCTATATTTTAAAACGCATTCTATCACTGCTATTCCTTATGTTGTAGGAGATTGCTTTTGTTTGCCTTTTGCGTATTCTATTTGTTATTGCTATGGTTATGTATTATTAGCTACTGCATGCCACTTATTTTTCTTCATAAAATATCGTGAGTTGTATCTCCCTAGTGGCGGTAGGATTTCCATTGCCTACAGGAAAGGAAAGCAATAAACTTCTGCTACTTCCCTTCCTATCACCGATCTTTGCTGCAACGTCAAGTTGTATGTTGCATGTCGTCTCGCATTGACGTTGTCAATTTATATAAGAGTAAGTTTATTGTTTCGCTTCAATTCAATTATGGCGGGAATGAAGTGCATTTTTTAAAATTTCACTGCAAATAAGAGAACATAAAAATGCAATATTTTAATGAAACATCAACAGCGAGAAAATTTAAGTTCGTCTATGAAAATCTTCAAAAATATACTGTTGCATATAAAGTGGGATAATTAATCTGCAATTGCAGCAAGCAATTCATGAAAATATATACAATTATATTCTCGTATATTAATCATTAATTCATTTATTAGTTTTGATAGTATATATGTAGTTCTTAATTAATCTTAAGGCGCCAGCGTAAATATAATTTCTGATAGTGAGGCAGTTGTAAAAACCCAGGCTCAGAACAACATACATCATGGTTTGTGTACAACTACATAACTCTCCTGAACCAATTACACTGTGATAGTTGAAAATTTTAACATTGATGGGTCATACGTAGTAAACATAATTCGAGTACACTCGTTTCAGATCACTAGTGATCACAGCTGTTTTTCTGGTTTGGCTCTAGTTTTCAAGTTATTCGCGTTGGAAAATTTCACCAAATTGTAATATACATACATACCTAAGGATTTATATAAAAATATTATGTCGTCTGAAGGAGGCTTCAAAACTCGGGAACAGCTAAATTTTTTTTAATTTTCGGTATATGTGGTACCAGGATCATTCAAAACAAAAAAGTTTGAGGGCCACCAGTTTGAGATTTTCGGATAAATTAAATTTTAAAATAAATTAAATATCACAATACAAAAGCCTTACAGTCGGACATAGTTCTGAGGAGGGTTGCCACCTGTTTAAAAATTTTAAACTACATAAAATTTATAAAATAAATAAAATATTACAATATGGGTATGAAATAAAAGAGGTTTAAGAAATATTACTGTTGGAAATATTTTTGTGTGGCTTGCCCCTGTTTGGGAATCTTAAACTCAAATAAAATTTAGAAAATAATGAAAAATTGCAATATGGGTATCAAATTAAAGGGGTTTGAGAAAGATTATTGCCGGAAATATTTTAGAAGGATTGCCACCTGTTTCAAAATCTTAAAACAAATAAAATTAATTAAATATTACAATATGAGTATCAAATTAAAAAGGATTAAAAATATTACTGATTGGGAGGGTTGCCACCTGTTTTAAATTTTAACTGGGTTAATTTTATAAAATAAATGAGAGTGAGATTTTGGTCAGCGAATAACTTGTCAATAAGTAATTTTATCGAAAAATTACTTCAGAGCTTTTTTGTAGTGTATCTACTCGATTTTCCATAAGAATATGTATTCCATATTACTGTACACTGATTGGTTCAAAATAAAAATCACGAAATGCAAAAAGTTAAAAAACTCCCTTGTTAATTCCCTAGAACGGCACTTTTTTGGTTTCATATGTGCTTTTGGGGAGGAATCTGAAAATCTAGGCGCTAAGAAAAAATGAAATAACGGCATAGTACAGAAAGCCTTTATTATCTTGTTGTGTTTTCAGCCAGGTTCTTACTCTACGAAAACGTATCTATAGAAAAAAAACACTTAACTCGATTTTCGGAATCGCCGAGCAATTCTACATAGTCATTTGATTGTGGCATCCAGAGAAATTTTTGCTGTAAACCAGTGTAATATACAGAAATATTAAAAAATTTAAATTTGGTATACCAAAAGACAGATGGAAAAACACATATCTTCTAGTGATTTACTATTTCGCGCGACATGTTCGGTTCTTCCTCTTCGCCAACAAAATTATTATTTACTCTCTCAGCGCGATTAGCGTAATCTTGTAGTCTCTCCTCTCATTCTTGATCTGGTCGTTTTCGAATTAAATTTGACACAAAGGATACAATCTTAATTAACATATAGAATAGTTTTTTGTTTTAAATAGTTGCCACCTTTTATAGGGTAATGTGGCTGTCAAAGTATTTATGTGTAAAATATTTCTGAAGAGGGTTCCCACCTGTTTAGTAATTCTGAATCAATTTAATTTTCAAGTCTAATTCAATATTTTGATAAGTATGTGTGCAAGGCGATACAGGCTTAGCGAAGCTTTTATTATAAAATAATTTAGTTCAACTTAATGAGAAGTTAAATGAAACACCACAATGTGTTTGTCAAATTACAGAAATTATACAAAGCCTTTTCTACAAAATATTTTTAAAAATCAATTTAACTATCGAATCCGTTTCAGTGTAGGCAGTCCATTTTGAAATTTATTTTTACACACTGGTCAACTGGTTTCACAGCATTTTAATTCTTAATTTTTTTCACAAATATATTCAATTCGGTTTGTTATGGAATAGAATAACTAAATAAAACTAGGTTAAGTTTTCATTTTATGAACCTCGCAAAAGGACTGTTAATTATACGGGAAAAAATCGATACTGCTATATTTCTCAAAATTTTCGTAGGAAGAGTCCTGACAAATACTGGAAAAATTCCGTAAATTCACCACTCCTTAGATATTACAAAAAATCCAGAAAATAAAGAGAACTCCGAACGGCCCTACAAAAATTTAATTTTCATTTTTTAAATTTAAAAAGTTTGAAAATTTGTTGAATTTTCATAAGTTTTGAAACTTTACTTATATTATTTTGGTTAAAGCTTGGACAGTATTTTTATAAAAAATAACTTGAAAAGCATTGTGAATATTAAAACAAAAATCAATACGTGGCCACTTGTTTGAGTCACTGTATCTCACTCAATTTGGAATGCTTCTGCGATTCACTGTAAGTGCTTACATTTACCAATACATGTATTGTTAGTGCTGACACGTGTCAGCTTAGCGTGGCGTATGAGTAACATGAATTCTCGCTGGTGTACAGCAAAGTGCTCTGATTCGACTTTCGTGCGGCTGATTTATTTATAATTTCATTAAATTGAACTTCGATGTTTTTTTTTTTGTATTTAAGTTGATGTTTTTTTATTATTTGAAAGACTTTT